GTAATTTCTTTCGTCCCTAAACATTCAATAATTCCTTATAACAGAATTAAGAGAGCTTTGCTTTTCTCACCTCAATCTGTCACTCGAAAAGAACACAAAAATCCAAAAATCAAGCGATGGACTACAGGTGCTCGTCACAATGGCCTTAGCTTCCACTAACAGCCTCTGATTTACACATCAAAGCCCTTTAATATCACTTCAACAACTTTTTTTTTTCACTGATAATTAAATGTGTGTCCGAACGGCTATTCAACAATATGTACACAAAATGAGGGAGAGAATGGACAGAGGTAGAAAAGAACATTACGGCAAGATTAACATAAAGCAGAATTCAGACGAGATCAACTGAATAACTCACCTTACCAATGGCAGTGCTCCCTCCGTGCCTCAGTTTCTTCCTCGAAATTATAACCACCTCTTGCCCGGTCGTAATTTTAGTCAGAAATACAAGATAACTCGGACTCTGGACACAGAATAAAGGAAAAAAGTGGAAGAGGGCAGCACGGAAATCACACTTCCAACCTGAATGAATCACTAAACAGAGAACTTTGACTCTGGCCGTTCATGTGTGCATGCCTTGCCATCCTTTCCACTTCGGAAGTTGGCTGACTGTTTTCGAACTGACAGCCCTGCGTCTCATCATGAAAGCTGCATGGCGGATTGCTGAGGGTGTCGTTCGCTCCCTCGGCAGTGACCCTCTTCTCCGCTTGAAACGGTGGTGATGATGATTTCGTGTCCGCACCATTTGGTACACTGCAAAGTTTCAGACATTTTCGAAATCCCACACAGAATTAATAGAAATATAAGTAGGAAGAGATGCAAATCTCAAAAAGATACCTTACTAAGCTCTGAAGAAGTCAAAATCGCCTCTGAATTCGAACGATTAGAATCTTGAATTGATCAAAACGAAGAAAACTAGTGTTCGCCTGAGTGTAATATCTAAAGCGAAATTGCGGCCATATTTGTTAGCAAACTTACTCAAACCGTATCTCTCCGAAAACACTTACTTTGTTTCCTGAGACTCATAACCTCTGCTGGACTCTGTATTTGAACCCAAGTCGGCATGCTCCAAATGATCCGCCTCCACGGCACTCAGTTCGGCTTCGCTAAAAGCCATCGTTTACAAAAAAACATCACTACATCACTGTAACAAACATGATCAAAAACTAATACTATATCAGTATGCACTAACTGTTGGGATAGAAACAAGTTCGCATTACTTGATTCAGTTTCAGTAATTATTACGTAAAAGTATATGTTAAGAGGCCAAATCCGCTCTCAACCTGCTTCTAAGCAACCATCGAAAGACGAGCCATTGACAGCCCTGCCAGACGGTAGTTGCTGTTGACTTCTGTTATCAGTTCAGCTACTTCCTGAATGCCTCTGTCTCTCATAGGTAGCTAAATGGGGGCGCTACTGCCCAATATTTCTGAATGCATATTGAGTTCGGCCCTAAAAACTGAAAAACTAATCGCACCTTCTGATTTCATCGTTGTACTGCAGCTGCCTTAGAAGCATCCCAATGT